TTCATTATCCCCTCAATCCACATGCATACAAGATCCAGAGGAAAGCCCAATCTTCCACCCAATACGCACCATCATTTAGGAAGTGCTCTTTAATTGCTGAATGACTACATTACATAAATCAAGATACGACTAAAAAGTTACTACGACTGATAGTCCCAGCACCGCCATTACCACTCTATCGAGACTGTTCACACTGCAATGCAGGTGAGAAGTGTTTAACTACGCAAGAATGATGATGCGGCATTATAAAAACCTGGTGATAAGAGCCAACTAAGTACCTTGCAGCATGCGCAAACACACTTCCGACGTACTACTTCTAGTGATGCAACAGAGGAAAAATATTGCTGAATTTTGGCGCAACATGAAGTTAAATTTATGCTTTGAGAATCTACACATCGGAAAATTGATAAGCCTGAGCATTAGGATACAGGATATCGGACGCATTCCGCCACCTCTTTCACTCTACGCAAGTTACTTTTTCGTCTCTACAGATAGAGGAATTTTCACCAATATTCCCTGCATGTCATCCGTAAAAATGACGAGTAAGGTGATACAGTCTCAAGCATTCGTATGTGATTATCTAAATATACTAATAAGGATGTCCATTACGCACTTCCTAACACTTAAAGGCGTATCTACACATAAATACTATTTAAAATAACATGACAGTAATTACCTGTTATGAGTAGATGTTCCTGATTCTCCTCTTTCCAAAGGTTGTTCGAAAGTCAAGCGATTTTCCTCTCCAGCAAGTCCAAATAACGAAGACTGTAGGTTAGGACAGACTCCTTCGACACAAATGGCAAAATTGCCAACAGCCCCCACTTCCGACAGAGGCTAGTCAAATGCAATTAGCACAGAGCCATGGCATCCGATCACATTTGGTTATTCCCGACGTTCAACACAGACACATTGGCCGAGAGAAAAAAACGACCTTTAACACGTGAGGGCACTATATTCCTTACACACAGATTGTCAATGTGAAAAAAAATAGCAAATACCACAACCGATTCCTCTTAAACGCTTGCATCCTTTAAAAAACGAGTTTGATAAAACGACCTTTGCTGCACACCACAGGTTCGAAACACACCCATTGGTATTTGGACATGGTTCAAATATGTAGTCAAACAACCAAGAATATATTTAGCGAATTTGTGAAAAAAATTAGGGAACAAAAGGACACACCTAAAAAACACAATTAAAAAGATTGTTTTACTATAATACTGCTATGATAAAAATTGCATGCGTTGCACTCAAGTATTTGTGTATTCATTGATGTATTGTTGAATTCAAGCAAACATTTTTGCCTTCTAGTCTAGGTTTTACATATTCTGCTTAGTTAGGCACATTATTTGTAAATATATGGCCTAAAATTACTTGTGATGAAAATACTTGGTGTCTATCTCCCCATTATTTTACCCTTTTACTCATGTATGTTTTTGCATATTTTCTTTCTATCTGTTTGCCAATTTTTGTGAGACAACATTTTTCTCGGAGAGATGCATATTTTGAGTCGCGCTACCACAGTGAAGGGGAGACAGACTCGCTTCCAAACAAAATTGATCTATTTGTATACAATGCACCTGTGGATCAGTGGATCTGGCAGAACCAGCAGAGTGGACCTTTTTGCTTGCAAATTGTAAGCACTTGGGTTCGCCTATCTATCTTTACATGTTCCCATCCCCATCTACCCAAATCTTCCACATGCTGTCGTCAAGTACGAAAATATAGTAAAGTTTTCACCGACCATGCTTTTGACAAGACCACATACAATTAATGATGAGTGGTTAAAGCTGAGGTCACAAATCTTCACGTTTTTTGCAATACATGTAGGAATGTATAGCTTTTTGGAAGAAAAAATTGCGACAGAAGGGGATAGTTTTCGAATGCAATCGGCACAGTTAGGTAGATTTAACAAAACTCGCTTGCAGGCTTGCCAATTGCCCTCGAATGTGAGTATTGAAGTACCGTATTGTGGCCTATTCTTGGTTGATATTGGCTTGACGTTGACATTGACGTCCCTCCGAATGACTGTTGACCTTGAGTTGGGCTAGTGAATAATTTGGGCAACACAATCACTATTATCGTTGACAAACTTCCCAAACTCAACGGGGTAGGTTGATAAACTGTTTTGAATGGGCTTATCGTTCCTTACGTGGTATTCTGAATACCATTTAGTGATGCTTAAGGCCATGAAGCCCTCCTTTTATCCTTTTTGCTGTGTAAATTGTCAAGTGTTGCTGGATCGCAGAAGTGCACTACGAAGCTCTCCTAGAAGCAGATAGGGATGAGCCTGAAACACATGTTAACGCGATTTTAAGTGCATGCAATTCAAATTATCAAATGTTTATCCTTTGCAAGATTAAATTTTTTATTGCCAATTTTCTACGAGGAGGGCAATTCATTTGCAAGTCTGCCAAGTTTGACCTACCGTAGTTAAGATTGCATACTGAGCCGTCTATGTTAGGTAGCATGAGAAAAGCTTTATTTATAAACAGGTCTTATTTTAGCTGTGAGATATTCAGTACCGATTAATCCTTTACCCATTATATTTAAATAGCAATTATTTTGGCCCCTCACTGTCGACCTGCTTAGGGCATCTTAGAAGTGAAATCAATGGGCACGGTCTTGGTCAGGGGCTTCGTCATTTGCTTTTCTGTATACTTTCATGACAGTAATGTGCTCTCTACCTCATCCCATAAAGCGTACTTCCTGGTTATGGTCATTGGTCCACTTCAAATTAGGCGACAATTTAAATTTACATGAGAACAATCCTGTCAAAATGCCAAAAAAGCATGCAAGATTCCCCCATCTCCATTCCTAAAACATAAGAATCCTCTTCCACTTCCATGAAATCATCGACAAGAAATGTTGTTTAGTGACGACAACACGCTGCAAC